TGTGGCTGCTGCACATCCCCACATGTATTGGTGCATGGAAAAAATTATTCTGCACACGAATGGAAAAATTGGAGGGAGCCTCCGGGGCACCGGGAGGGAAGGGCTCCCCATGGAGCAGCCTGCCCAGCGGGTTGCTGACTCTCTGGACTTGCCCGCTTCCTTTGTAGCCAGCTGGGGACGGCCTACGTCAGCGCCACCACGGGGGCGGTCGTGACGGCGCTGGGACTCAAGTCTCTCACTAAGGTAGGGACCCAAGGTCGGGGCACGCCTGGCCCGAGCCTCCGGGGCACCGGGAGGGAAGGGCTCCCCATGGAGCAGCCTGCCCAGCGGGTTGCTGACTCTCTGGACTTGCCCGCTTCCTTTGTAGCCAGCTGGGGACGGCCTACGTCAGCGCCACCACGGGGGCGGTCGTGACGGCGCTGGGACTCAAGTCTCTCACTAAGGTAGGGACCCAAGGTCGGGGCACGCCTGGCCCGGGGCCCGGAGAGAGGGGCTGCCCAGGAGTCATGCTGCAGGACAAGGCGCTGGTCTCCGGCCACTCCTTGCAGCTCTGCATTCATGCCCGTCCACCCAGGAGCCCGGGCGGGGTGTGTGTGTGTCTCTCTTTTAGGGGAGCCCCAAACATTTTACTGCCACCCGTGTCCCTCCATCGGGCGTCCAGTGCCCCCCACCGGCTCTCTGCCCCAGCTACCAGCACCACCAGCAGACAGTACTGGCCTTGATTCTGCTCTCCCGCCGGGGGTGGGCCTGGGGGCCCCCCTGGAGCTGTGCCCTGCGGGATTAGCCAGCGCAGCGCCGCCAGCCCTAAGACAAGCTGTGGCCAGCTGGAATCCACTGGAGAACGGAGCCAGCAGGGACCCCAGCTGAGATCAGGGCCGTGGGGAATGTAAACGCACCAGGCAGACACAGGCCCGGTTGTTATTCCTGCTTTCCTGAGGGGGAAAGGAGGCCTGGAGAGGTGCAAGTGACTGGCTCGGGCAGAGCCAGCAATGGAAGCAAGCCCCGTGCTCTAACCACTGGCCTATTCTCCCTTCTCCCCTGTTTCATTTCCCGGTGTGCGATTCTCTCTTCTCCCCCTCTGCAGCATTTGCCGTCGATTATCGGCCGCTACGTGCCTTTTGCTGCCGTGGCAGCGGCCAACTGCATCAACATTCCTCTAATGGGGCAGAGGGAAGAGACCTTCCCCCCTCGGGCCCCTTGCTTCTGGCGGCACCAACAGTCTGGTGCTGGAGGGGGAAGGCAAGACCATCCTCCGTCCTGCTCTTGTTCAGCAATGCAGCTCCGGGACAGGAGGGATTGCTTCCTGACCCCTGCGGCTGGTCAGTACATGCCCTGAAGCATGAGGGTTGTTTTAATTGCTAGAGCTGGAATAAGGGTCAGTTTCCAGACAGAAACGCTTCCCATCAAACGCAGACCCAGTCGGGCCCAGGCAGTGGTAACGGACCCCGGTCTGTGTCTTCTGGAAGTTCAGCAATGCAGCTCCGGGACAGGAGGGATTGCTTCCTGACCCCTGCGGCTGGTCAGTACATGCCCTGAAGCATGAGGGTTGTTTTAATTGCTAGAGCTGGAATAAGGGTCAGTTTCCAGACAGAAACGCTTCCCATCAAACGCAGACCCAGTCGGGCCCAGGCAGTGGTAACGGACCCCGGTCTGTGTCTTCTGGAAGGAGCTGAAATTTGGGATCCCTGTGATGGACGAGGACGGGAACCGGCTGGGGGAGTCGAGGGCAGCGGCCCGCCAAGCCATCACTCAGGGGGGGGGGG